GATTTTAGATTTCTATACAAATAAACACCACAAAGTCCATGAAAAGCATCTGGGAAACACCTTCTAACAGCGTTTTCAATTGAGTTTGCCCTATCAGATATGATTATCAGATTTCTAATAGGACATATGCAATCCCTAAGATACCTCATAAACCATGTCCATGAATCAGAGGTTTCAGATTTGCCAACCCCGTAAGCTATTGGCAGTATCCCATTGTTAGCATCCATGGTTACTGCTAATAAGTTTACTCCAAGGTATCGACCTTTTAAATATGCTCCGTCAACTATAATAACTGGGTGCATGCAATTAATAAACGAACAAATCTACAAAATCATATACACAAGAAATATAATCATTTAAATGTGAAATGCATGTAACTAACAAAAATGAGCCATCAAAATTATATTGATTTACTAACCGCAGCACCAATGGCGATAAACAGCAACTCAAAGCATCCATCTCTAACTGTTTTGATATGAGTTACCGACCCAGGATTTTTCAGCTTTAAATTGTGACAATAAGCAGGCAGTTGGGTAAACGATGCTTCTGGCGACCCCCTCAACAATTCCAAGGCATAACATTTGGCTCTCCAAGCTTGAGAATATGAGATACTAATCTTGAACCGAGCATTCATGTCAGTCATAATTTCATGTCCCCGATATACCCTACCATTCAAAAACATTAACTCAGCCAGAAAACCACCCAACACCTTTTTGTTTGCCTGCCTATGGTGAGGAAAAACTTGGGTTCTTGAACATGTATGTTTATCAATAAAAGTCCTAACTTGAAACATTTTGCAATCTTTTATCCTCTTTGCAATCATACGCCACGTACAGTTTTTGTCAATCATACACCTTGTTTCGAAACGATCTTTGCTTGATTTGTTAACTTTTAGTTGATAGCCATCTTCCACACATTTCGTATACAAAGCTATCTTCAAGTCTTCCTTTGTATCAAAACAATCATCTTTCTTGATACGAATAATTTTTGTGTAACAATCAACTGCTATCTTTACCAACTATTCTTCCGGTATCTGAAGTAATTCTGGCATATTCCAGTTATACTCCCATGGCATTTTCTTCGGGGACTTTTCTTTGGGGATTTCTTCTTCTTCTTTTTCCTCTTCAGTGTTATATGAATTACAGAATGGATGTTCAACATGTTCATTTACAGTCGTAACTTCCTCCTCATTATCATCAACAACATCTTCCTCGACAACGGCTGTTTCATCATCAAAATTCGGGTATTGACCAATATCAAAATCATTACACGCAGGGTCTGTTTCTTCTTCTGAAAAATCATCAAAATCCGAGTATTGACCAAGATCAAAGTCCGGGTATTGACCAAGATCAAATTTCGAATACTGACTAGTACTCATAATTTTTTCTGTTGGCTCATCATCGTCTAACTGGTCAATACGAAAACCGAAATTTGGTGCTGAAAGTTGATTGGGATTTGGATTAGGGAAAGGTTGTGGGTTTTGAGATTGTGTTTGGTATTGGAAATGTGGTGAAACAATATTTGCTTGGTGATGAAATTGTGGTGGAACCATTAAATTTTGAGCACCATAAACTGGGGTTGAAAAACTTAGTTGATTACTACCCGCTACTGACCCAACTTCACTACTTCTAGGTTCAACAACATACAATGTAACATCATCACTTGAAACACTAATGTAAGCAATGAATCGTTCAACATCTTCATTGTCGGTTAACAAATAAACTTTACCATTTCTCTGATAAGATAGCCTAAATCCACTTAGGGGCTCTAAATTCAATTTATTTGCAACACGTAACATTAGAGTTTCATAAGTTAACTTTTTTAATGACAATTTTAGTTGAAGATTCATGGGTAAAGGCATATATTGTAAAACACCATGAACATTCTCCCATGACCCTCCAAAACACAAATCTATCCAAATATGATCAACATTAGATGATTTCATTATTGTAAATTAATTTACTAAACAAACGAGCTGCGAAACTAAAACATGTTGCCGGATGGGGAAGGATGTCGTTGGATATAGGAACGGATGTCGCCGGAGAGAGTGATGGATGGAGATGGAATGAGTTGCGCTTTAGGGATTTAGGTTATGAGTTGCTGCTGCTGCGTAGTTATATACCCAAAACATTTGTGTTGCGAAACTAAAACCTGTTGCGAATTCAGAAATCGAGTTGCGAATTTGAAATTCAGTATTGCGATAGTCAGAATCTCGTTGCGATTTACAGATTTGCATTGCGATTTACGTATTCGCATTACGATTTACGTAATCGCATTACGATTTTCCAAAGAGAAAATAACTTCAGTGACCAAAAATCCCATATAATATACGATTTTGACCAAATTTTTTTTGGATTTACCAAAATGACCAACAAAATCGCAATGCGATTTCTAATTCGCAACGCGATCTCCAGTATCACAAATTCGCGCTGCATTTCGCGTTGCGATAGTTGAAAATCGCGTTGCGGTTTTCCATTTCGCGTTGCGATAGTCTACAGTGTCGTTGCGATTTTCCATTTCGCGTTGCGATAGTCTACAGTGTCGTTGCGGTTTTCCATTTCGCGTTGCGATAGTCTACAGTGTCGTTGCGATTTTCCATTTCGCGTTGCGATAGTCTACAGTGTCGTTGCGATTTTCCATTTCGCGTTCCGATAGTCTACAGTGTCGTTGTAATTTTCCATTTTGCGTTGCGATAGTTTTAAAAATGGTATTGCATTTGTTTTTAAAGAATTTTCTCTAAAAAGGTAGTATCCGCGCGGACGTGTCGAAGACACGTATTACCACGACCACGACCCGAGACGACGGCGGCGGCGCGCGAGAGTCCCCCTTGTTCTCTATCACTCAACAAGAAAGTGCAAAATCCAAACCTTAAATACCATTCCCAATATTGTTTCCAAAACTATGTGGGATTGAGCATTCCCAATAGTAATATCACGGATCTTACAGTATCATATCAAACTATATCACATAAGAAAATCTATGAGGAAGAGATATTTATACAATGTTCAACTCATAAATTATTTTATCAATTCATAGATAATAGAGTCTCTTTAAATATTTTGAAAGATCATCAAGCATAACATTCAGTCTCACTCAATTACTAATCACTACCTCTCCTTCAAGCACCTCACCATCCTCTCTCCACTCTTAAGTCTAATCATTGTACAACATAATTCATTAAAAAAATTATCTCGATCTCGCTATCTTTTTATATATCAACACGTAATTATTTAAGTCGAATAAAATGCAAAGACTAAATATATAGAATTTGGCTTATATTTGAATGTATAAAAAGCTAAAACTACTATAGGATTCACCATATTAATGAGCTGAACATTGTATAAATATATTCTATTATCTAAGTGTTGGTAATGCTCAATCCCACATAGTTTTGGAAACACTATTGAGAATGGTATTTAAGGTTTGGATTTTGCACTTCCTTGTTGAGTGAAAGAGAACAAGGGGGACTCTCGCGCGCAGTCGCCGCCGCCGTCTTGTCTCGGGTCGGGTCGTGGTCGTGGTCGTGGTCGTGGTAATACGTGTCTTCGACACGTCCGCGCGGATACTATCTTTTTAGAGAAAATTCTTAAGAAACAAATGCAATACCATTTTTAAAACTATCGCAACGCGAAATGGAAAATCACAACGACACTGTAGACTATCGCAACGCGAAATGGAAAATCGCAACGACACTGTAGACTATCGCAACGCGAAATGGAAAATCACAACGACACTGTAGACTATCGCAACGTGAAATAGAAAACCGCAATGCGATTTTCAACTATCGCAACGCGAAATGGAAAACCGCAACGCGATTTTCAACTATCGCAACGCGAAATGGAAAATCGCAACGCGATTTTCAACTATCGCAACGCGAAATGCAGCGCGAATTTACGATACTGGAGATCGCGTTGCGAATTAGAAATCGCATTGTGATTTTGTTGGTCATTTTGGCAAATCCAAAAAAAATTGGTCAAAATCGTATATTATATGGGATTTTTGGTCACTGAGGTTATTTTCTCTTTTCCAAATTCGTGTTGCGATTTACGTATTCGCATTGCGAATTAGGAAAATCGCAACGCGAATTTGGGAAATCGCAATGCGATAGTCAGAATCGTGTTGCGAATCTGGAAACTGATTTGCGATACCGGAGATCGCGTTGCGAATTATCGATCGCATTGCGATTTAATTGGTCATTTTGGCAAATCCAAAAAAAGTTGATTAAAATCGTATATTATAAGGCATTTTTAATCACTGAGGTTATTTTCTCTAAATTTTATCTTCAAGATTACCATGGAGGAATGCATTCTTAACTTCAAACTGTTGTAGATCCCATTTAAAATTAGCTACGAAAGGCAAGATACTTATTATTATGTTCATTTTTGCGATGTAAGCTAATATCTCAAGATTATCAATGCTATATGTTCGTGTGTATCTTTTGGTCACTAATCTTTCTTTGTACTTTTCAATTGTGTCATTCACTTTATATTTTATAGATAACACTCATTCACTTTATATTACACTTTAAATTGGTGGTTAATTTGTGAATAGAAATAAGTTTGAGAGAGATTTAGAACATGGAAAATATTTTTTAGATAAGGTTTTTATTAAGTTAAATGTCCTCTTGGCAAGTTACGGTGTTAGTTGTATCATTTGTTATGATGATCGTTGAAAAATTATTACATTGTGAACAAACGTTTGTTGTCATTCTTTTGCAATTAATTTCAACTTATTACGTTATATTTTGTTTATGTTTTTGTATGATTAACGATGGGTGACGAAAATAAAAATAAAACGTTACGTTAGACATAATTTAAAAAAATAATAATAAAGTGAATATAATAGAAAATAAAGTAATAAGTGCCTGACTAAATGAGTATTTTACCCTAATTTAATGATTAATGGTGCAGTTTAATCTAAAAATTACGGCATATTTAGATTAAAAACACCATATAATTTTCCCGTTTAAAAGTTGCCGATCCGCTCTCATCTTCGCCGAACAACCGCTACTCTGTCCAAAGCATCGTCTGTCTTTTCCTCTAATTTTATCCCATTCTCATTCCTCCGTTTCCTCCCCCGTCCCTGACCCCAACCCTCTTTTTCCTTAGTTCCCGACGGCCCGGTTAGTTAAATAAGTTTTTTTTGAAACTCTAAACTCAACTTGAAGATTTCTACTTTTAAAGATTTTGAGTAACGTTTGCTTTTGGTTATCTGATTTCTGCTAGTGTTGTGTTCTCTGTTTTCGATCCTACTGCGCATCCCTCGTCTCCTCGTCCGGTGCCCAACGCAAGCCTCTATTGCCTTCAAGTTTCCGACAGGCCAAGGAATATAATCAGGTAATGTTTGAAACCCTAAACCTAATTTGAGTCACGAAAATTAGAGTTATCTGGTCTCTGCATCGTCATCACTCTGCTTTATTTGTTTTTCTGTTTTCGACCATGATGTTTACCCTTTTGTACTCCTCCAGTGCCTGACGGAAGCCGCCTCTTGCTTTCTAGTTTCCGATTGACCAGGGTATTCATAAGGTAATTTTGAAACCCTAAACCTAATTTGAAGATTTCTTTCTACTCGAGTCTCGAAATTACGATTTATTTGGTCTCTGCATCATTGTCTTTCTGCTATATTTGTTTTTATGTTTTCGACCCTGATGCTTGCCCCTCTCCTACTCCTCCGGTGCCTGACGGAAGCCGCCTCTTGCTTTCTAGTTTCCGATTGACCAGGGAATTAAGTAAAGTAATTTTTTGGAACCCAAAACCTAACTTGGAAGATTATTCTTCTTGAGTCAGATTTGCAGTTATCTAGTCTTTGCATAAGTATACTATATATTTTCTTCTGTTCTCAATCCTACTGATTGTTACTCCTCTGTTTACATTGTTGAGAAGATATTTTTATGAAGCTGTTGGTTTACTGGAAATAATGGATCGTTATTGTCTCTATTTTCTGTTACACTGCAATTTGCGGCAGCAATCTGCTGCAATTGATGTCAAATTTGTCACACAGCTACTTTGTTCTTTCGTGGGTAGCTGACAGCACTGCAACTGTGAAATAGAGGGCAAGACTACCTCAATTTGAAGCATTGTTACTGATTTGTGTTTTGTTTGACACTAGATTCATCTTTGAAACAGTTTACTGATTTGTATTTCGTTTGAATTGGATTCAGCTATGGAAGTTGACCATTACAGCATTCTGGGTTTACCTTCAGGCGAGGAAGGAGCCAATTTGACCACAAAAGAAATTACCAAGGCTTATAGAGAAAAAGCTCGTGCTCTTCATCCTGATAAACGAAAAGATGATCCAAATGCCCATGAAAACTTTATAAAGCTCAAATCCTCGTATGAAATTCTTGTTGACGACAAAGCTCGTAAGCTCTTTGATGATCTCCTCCGGGTGAAACATGAACAGCAGCGTCGTTTTGCACAGCAAGACTCAAAACGAAGGAAAATGATGTCAGATTTGGAAGATAGAGAACGTGCTTCTTTTGCTCCGGATCCTGATGTAACGGCTAAAGAGGAAGAAGAGAGGATTGCTAGGAAATTAAAAGAGGAAATTGCAAGGATCCGTGCAATGCACGCTAGTAAGGGTGCTGGTATGCCTACAGGCTCAGGTTCGGGCTTGAATCAAGACAAGGTTGGGATAGAAGGGAATAATGAGGGTGGGGCTAGTGGGGAGTTGGATAAAGAGAAGGTTTTAAAGGTTTCTTGGGAAAGAATTGAGGAAGGTTATACAGCAGAGAAGCTAAGGCAATTGTTTTCCAGGTTTGGAGAAGTGGAGGATATTGTTATCAAAAGCTCAAAGAAAAAAGGGTCTGCTCTAGTGGTCATGGCTACTAAAGAAGCAGCTGTAAGTGAGATTTCTTTTGTGTCAATCTTATTTTAGTTTTGTTGTTTTATTTTCTTCATCTATTTTATCTCTTTTCAGGTTGCTGCTACTGGAAGCGTTACTGGGGTTCTACACAATCCATTGCTGGTTGTGCCTCTTAAACCGGCAATTGCTGCAGAATTTCCTGCTCCCCAGAAGGCCGAGGAACAAGATCGTTTCAGTAATCTGGTTGGGGCTGGTTTCCAAGCTTTTGAAGATTCTGTTTTATCCAAACTGAAAAAGGTATGACCTTGCTGCAGTATATTAAGTTTGGTAATTAGAGATGTTCATTAAACTATTGTTTTCTCATTAAATTTATTGTTAAATTTGCACTATCTGAGATTTGATTCTGTTTATGATCAGGCTGCCGAAAAACAACAGAAGTGATGTAGAAAAGGCCTTGAAGATAATGTTTAAAATCACATTTTAACTATACATGCAGCAACAGTGATGGACTAGGGGAATGACCAGAGATGGATGAGGGAGAACATAGGAATTTTTTTTTGTAACAGTGATGGACTAGGGGAATGACCAGAGATAGATGAGGGAGAACATAGGGATTTATTTTTGTGATAACATAGAAAAATTTCAAATTATCATATATTTTACCTATTATACTGTATAACATGTAGGGAGGCTAAATTTTTTGAATAATGCGGTGTAAAAAAATTGCTCGAGTAATGTCGAATGAAAATTATTTGTTGGAATAGGACAAAATTATTCACTGGAATAAGACGAATGCTACAGTACTGCACAAGAATGCTACGGTACTGCACAAGAATGCTACAGTACCGTACAAGACGACACATGGATTACCATGTGACACCGGGTGCATCCATGGTAATCGCATGGATTTCCATGCGTTATCAAAATTTTGTTTTTTTTGGTGTTTTTCTTTTCTTTTAATATGAACATTACAAGTTGCTCGAATCATACTCTGTTACTCTAATTAAATTACTCAAACTATGTCTTGCTACCTTAATAAAGTTGTTCGAATCATGTCTTACTATCTTGATCAAGTTGCTTGAACCATGTCTTACTATCAAGTTGCTCAAACCATGCTCTGTTACCTTGACACTACAGGTTGTTGAAGTGTTAGGATAACAAGGCATGGTTCAAGCAATTTAGTAATATATATGGTTCGAGAAACTTAGTAGCAGACATGGTTCGAGAAACTTAGTAGCAGGGAATGATTCAAACAACTTTATTGAGGTAGCAAGAAGAACAACTTGTAGTGTCAGGTAGCAGGCCACGATTCAAGTAATTTGATAGCAGGGTTTGATTCGAGCAACTTTATTAGGGTAGCAGGCATGACTCGAGCAACTTGATTAAGGTAACAAGGTATGATTCGAGAAACTTGTGACCATAAGTAAAAAAATAAAATTGGGTAATGCATGGAAATCCATGCGATTTCCATGGATGGAAACATCAGTATCGCATGGTAGTTCATATGTTTTGCATGGTACTGTAGTATTCGTTTAATTCAAGTGAATAATTTTCGTTCAATATTATTTAAACAATTTTTTTACACTGCATTATTAAAAAAAATTAGCCAATAGGGAGTTGTACACGTGAAATTATTTTAACATTTCACATTTCTTTCTCAAACAACTTATAAATCTTAACATGCTATTATTGCATAATAGTATTTACTCTCCAAATTTTATTTAGGATAAATTATTCGTTTAGTATCTCAACTTTTAATTTTTTAAAGGCTTAATATTAAAATAACTACTCAAATTATAACAAAATTCTTAAATAGTAGTTTAAATTATTTTTTATCACGTGTCTCGATCATAACGTCTGTTATAATACTCTGTTAAATGACATATGTCACAATATTAGAATTTTGAAATTTTTATTCTTTAAAAAAAACATAAAAAAAGACACATTTCTTCTTCCCCGCGTCCCTCCCCATCCTCTCTCATTCTGCACTTTTGTGTATTATGGTTGGCTATGGAGTTCAGATCCTCGGGATGGGAATCGTGACTATATTGTTTGCTTCTTTCGGATTTATGTCCCCGGCATCTCGAGGAACCCTCATTGCATGTATGCTATTCTTCTACATGATTCTCGTGATTGCAACTGGCTATGTTGCAGTTCGGCTTTGGAGAACTATCAGCTATGGTGATCAGATCACAAGGGATGGGCTTCGGTCGCATGGAAGGCAGCTTGTTTTTCCTTGTATTGCCTTCTCGATTCTCACCACGTTGAATTTCCTATTTTGGGGAAGCCATAGCACAGGAGCTATCCCGTTTTCGCTCTTCGTTATCCTACTGCTACTCTGGTTCTGCATCTCGGTTCCACTCACCCTAATCGGTGGATACTTCGGGGCAAAGGCACCTCACATTGAATGCCCTGTTCGAACCAACCAGATCCCTCAAAAATACCCATCATGGCTATTGGTTCTTGGTGCTGGAACTCTACCTTTCGGTACCCTTGTCATCGAGCTTTTCTTCATCATGTCGAGCAAGGGGAGAGGAGTAGGGAGGGAGAAGGGGGGCACGCGGGGTTTTACCGTTTGTTTGTTTTTTTTTTTTTTTAAATATATTGTTATTTTGGCTTAATACCAAAATAAGTGTCCAAATTATACCAAAATTTTCGAATAGGTACATAAACTATTTTTTTATACATCTAGATGTCTAATGTTACAAATGTTGTCATTTTAAGTGTCTAATGTTACAATTGTTATCACTTTAGGTGTCTCGGTCATAACAACCCGTTACCACTTTAGGTGTCTCGATTATAACGACCGTTATAAATCTCCGTTAGGTAACACGTCACAATATTATAATTTTTGAAATTTTTATTTTTATTAACGTTAGACACCTAGATGGATCAAAAAATAATTTAGACACATATTCGAGAATTTTGGCATAATTTGGGAACTCATTTTGGTATTAAGCATTTTTTAAAAGTATACCTAAAGTTTAGTTTTTATTTTATTTTAGTACTCCATTTAAAATTTAGTACTTTTGAAAAAAAGTTAAAAGTTTAAGTATTAAGGTATAGTTTTAAAAAAGTTAAAAATTTAGATATTAAAATAGATCAAAATTGATAATTTAATTACTAAATAGATAATTTATCCTTTTATTTATTATAATTTATCGACATTGCTCGATTGAAATCGCGGTGAAAATAGATACATAAAATGATTTTATCAAATAATGAAATTATTATTTATGAACAATAAAGAGTTACCTATATATATTTGAAAGAGAAAATAACCTCAGTGACCGAAAATGCCTTATAATATACGATTTAACCAACTTTTTTTTGGATTTGCCAAAATGACCAACAAATTCGCAACGCGAACTTCAATTTCGCAACCCAGTTTCCAATTTCGCAACGCGGTAGTCAAATTCGCAACAGGTTTTAGTTTCGCAACACAAATGTTTTGGGTATATAACAACGCAGCAGCAACAACTCATAACCTAAATCCCTAAATCGCAACTCATTCCATCTCCATCTATCACTCTCTCCGGCGACATCCGTTCCTATATCCAACGACATCCTTCCCCATCTCTAATTTTTTTTTACATAATTTTATTTCTATATAATTTTTCAATGATTTCTCTCCCAAATTATCAACTATCAACTTAATAAAGGTATGTTTTTCTCTAAGTTAGTGATGATATATAGTTTATAGCTCGTTTGTTTAGTAAATTAATTTACAATTTGTAGAATGAAATCATCTAATGTTGATCATGTTTGGATAGATTTGTGTTTTGGAGGATCATGGGAGAATGTTCATGGTGTTTTACAATATGTGCCTTTACCCATGAATCTTCAACTAAAACTGTCATTAAAAAAGTTAACTTATGAAACTCTAATGTTACGTATTGCAAAGAAATTGAATTTAGAGTCTCTAAGTGGATTTAGGCTATCTTATCAGAGAAAAGATAAAGTTTATTTGTTAACCGAAAATAAAGATGTTGAACGATTCATTGCTTACATTAGTGTTTCGCAAGAAGATGATGTTACATTGTATGTTGTTGAACCTAGAAGTAGTGAAGTTGGGTCAGTAGCAGGTAGTAATCAACTAAGTTCTTCAACCCAAAATTTAATGGTTCCACCACAATTTCATCACCAAACAAATTTTGTTTCACCACATTTTCACTACCAAACACAATCTTAAAACCCACAACCTTTTCCTAATCCAAATCTCAATCAACTTTCAGCACCAAATTCCGGTTTTCGTATTGACCAGTTAGACGATTATGAGCCAACATAAAAAATTATGAGTACTAGTCAGTATTCAAAATTTGATCTTGGTCAATACCCGGACTTTGATCTTGGTCAATACTCGGATTTTGATGATGTGATGGAAGAAGAAACAGACCCTGCATGTAATGATTTTGATATTGGTCAATACCCGAATTTTGATGATGAAACAGCCGCTGCCGAGGAAGATGTTATTGATGATAATGAGGAGGAAGTTATGTAACACCCCCAACCCGGATCCGAGTCCGAAGTGTCACATTGACTTTTCAAAAACCTTTACTTGTATAAAATAGTGAGTAATTTAAAATTTATTATTACATATAATTGATTCAAAACCTTTATCGAACTATTCAGAGCTTATACAAGATATTATCTTGAATACATGCCAACTAGAACTTTATGTATTAAAATATATATTATTCACCTTTCTTCTGATCTGACCTTTGGTAAGGAGAACTGACCTGTCTTGCTCCACAATGCTCTCTACTCTTCTCACTTCGGTAACCTACGTGTGAAATAATCACACGCTAAGTCAATGACTTAGTGAGGCATTAAACACATTAAAGTAACTCTAACTACTTAATCATGCATGAACATATCATATCATGCTATCTGATCAAAACAATATAACATTTCATGTAATCAAATGTACACATATACACATCATCATATCAATCATATAATACAATTCATATCACAAAAGCATATACTTTACATGTAATATATATGTTTATTATTATCTCTTTGTTAGCCCATGTACATCTGTGAGAACTGTAGATATGTGAGTTTATTGAGGTTGTGCACTATGCTGTCACCACAGCTCGTATAAATGCACCGAAGTGCCACGTAGAATTGCACCGTAGTGCCGCGTAGAAATGCACCTAAGTGCCATATAAGGTTGTCCCTAAGGACCACATATCATTCCTTAAGAATCATATACATATGCCAAGGATCAAGTATATGCCTCAAAAGACCTCACACATGTTCCAAATAAGACATATATGTTCCGAAGGACCGCATAGACCCTTGACTCTTGGCATGCCAACTATACCCTAGCTCTCATGACACATAACATGGGCATCATCATTTATTTCATTTCACATTTTCACATAAACACGTAGTTCACTTTCACATGGCACGTAGATTATGTCACATAAGTTGAATCACATATACGTATAAACACGTAAATCACTTTCACATATCACGTAGCTCATATCCATTTTTCATACTATTTCACATTTCTTGTCACGTTGCTTAAATCTTATTTTTATATCTTATCCTATATATATATAGATAGTCACATGTTCATATAATCCATCATATCTTATCCTATATATTTATGTCATTTCACATTTTCACATAAACACGTAGTTCACTTTCACATGGCACGTAGATTATGTCACATAAGTTGAATCACATATACGTATAAACACGTAAATCACTTTCACATATCACGTAGCTCATATCCATTTTTCATACTATTTCACATTTCTTGTCACGTTGCTTATATCTTATTTTTATATCTTATCCTATATATATATAGATAGTCATATGTTCATATAATCCATCATTTCCTCATCTAAATGTGTATTCATATAATTCATCTTCATATATATATATATATATATATATATATATATATATATATATATATATATATATATATATATCATTTTTCATATACTTGTATTCACATCATTTATATTCTTCTTCTCATAATCTCATATGTCCTGATTAATAGCTTATATCATATATGTATAAAATAACTTATCTCATATCATATAGCTTATACCTCATTCTATGATATTCACCTAGATCATATCACATCTGTCATACTCATAAACATATGTCACTTCTATTATTTCATTTATATACTAATCTAATCTATTTACCTAGTTCAATTCATATAGTACCTATAACTTTCTAATATGACTACGTAGATTTCCATCATACAACCCATATATCATAATTTTATTTAAGCATATGTATCTTTCCCATCTAACTCATCTTATATGTTCCTATTATCACTTATGTTCAAGTCTCATATCATCATATATGTCAATATTATCTATCTTGTTTCAATTCTCATTCAATGATATAATTCTATTTTACTATTTCACATAAATGTTCATACCACTATTCACTTACCCAACTCACATTCTTATTGTTTATATAGCCTTTACACTTGAGTACTTCATTCCCATCATTTCTTCTAAACTCGTTTTTTACCATATTCCCATATTATTACTTAATTTATCTCCTATCATGTATTCGCGTAATCTTATATTCCATTTCTATATCTCATCGATCTTATCACATAACTTCTCTTTTATATTCATATAATTTCTTATCATATCATCATAACATAGCATATATTCACATCAACCATGAAATACATATATAATAACATGTCAACACATACCATAACATATAGCTCAGACACTCATAACAAAAACATGTTCATGTTCATGCGTCATGCACAATACTATAGAAATTAGACTTGTCGCAAGTCTTATTTCCCATTAAACATCATATATAAAATAATACACACTCACATTGGCCTCACTAAGTTCCAATCCATTTTTATAATTTCCTCTCTTGCGATCGAATCATAACTTGATAATCGTTCCGGGACTTGTTCGTGCTCGATATCTATATAATCATACATTGATACATATTAGTATCCAATTGATATACTCCAATCTATCATTTCTTAGACCAAAAGAAAGGTATAATTATATTTCCCTTGAAGTGCATCGATGCATTCTACATTGCATCGATGCATCCCTTAACATGTGCATCGATGCACTCCTTATGCATCGATGCATTAATTGCATTCGATGTTTCCATTTTTAATAGGTGCATCGATGCACTTCCTGTGCATCGATACACAATGAAAAATTTCTGGAAATTTACCCTTGATGCATCGGTGCACCTTGAATGTGCATCGATGCACATAGCCCAGAAATCCAATTTATGCCCGAAAATCCCCTCTTTTTAACTTAATTACTTCATATATCATTCCATTTCGTATTCTTAACTTACTTACTCTTATTCAAACTCATTTATATTCATTTATCTCGTCTTAAACCTTAATATCCTCTCATCTTTATTAACTTCAAGAATTATACCAGATTTTCAACATGTTTTAAAACTCATTTTATCACTTCATATCTCTTAATTTAACCCTTGACAAGTCAAATTTATCTTCCAATTTGAGTAATGAACTCTATTCCAAGATTTCATTTGTATACTCTAAATCTTTAATCTCTCCTAACTCCACCATCCTTTGCTTTTAAGATGATTTAAGCTTTCTTTAAGCTTAATTATCATCTAATTATCAAAACTCAAATCTTAAATTTAACCAAGAACTCAATAATCAGAAAACTCACCTTTGGCTCTTGGCTTTCACGCGTGAAGGAAGAAGAAAGATAAAGAGAATTCTGGAAACCACTTTGTTTCCTCTTTCCTTCCACGTGTTTAATATATAA